ACAAGCTATGCTTAAATCGTTTCCTGCTAAAGGTATTCACGAACTAACCTTTTTTTAATTAATTTTTCCTGTAGTATTTCTATCAAACAGCCACATATTGGGTACATACACAAGGTTTACCAGTCAGCGTTGGAGATATTGTACTCGTTGAGAAAGCAGATCCCCCACTGGCATTGAATACTATGTATAAATTGAAGAAAGTTGAATTTCCTGTTGGTAATCTTATTGATCCTGTAACTGGACTACGTTCTGAAGGTCCACAATATTCTATTGATGCTTTGAAGACTATTTTAAGCAAACAGTCATCAAGTTAATAATGTGAAAGTCCATAACATTTTTCACTTTCTGTAAATAGTGTTACTTTTTCTCTAAAATACACACCATAGTTCTTCTGAACTTTCGTTTTCCACTGAAGCTCACCTGTCATTATATAATAATGATTGTCTGCCAACGGGTTGATCGCTAACGAAATCTCAGCATGAATACAGAAGGCTCGTTCGACATATGCCGGCCGACTTACATTATCTCTGGCGTAGACGTGATATCTGACTGACTGTCGACCAAAAAACGTGTGTATTGCTCGGCGATTCGCTCTGTCCTCCTCCTTTATGGCTGGCTGTTACACACGACCATTGAAAGTGAGAGATATGAAAAGCCCGGTTAGCTGTCTTTGACCGTAGGTGTCTGCGTTCTACCTCCCGTGTTAAGTGGTGGTATAATGGCGGGTGAGCAATATTGAGTTTAGGCGTGGGTCGAGTGCAAAGTGAGTGGGAGGGGAAATCAATCGACAAGATTGTTGTGAAGTGACACCGATGGAGAGTGATGGTTAGGCTATGTGTTAAGCATGTCTATCTAGCCTAGCCATCGTCTTTCTCGACAAAGGGTAATGTTAGCTGAATGTCATAGGATGGATCACGTTGGAAATGAGTCAACTAGTGGTGATCAAACCAAAACATATCTTCATCAGTCAATGAAACAAACCCACAACAGTTAGTTTAACCTAGCCACATAGGGAGGTGCAAACTTGATGACTGACTGGTTGGGTTCCTCTGGATGGTAAGAACCAATGGTGGTGGTCGGAGACAATCGGTGATATGGCTGGAAGTCGTTCTCAATGTCTGGCGCAGATGCGTCCGCTCTTTGTGATATCCAATACAATTCTGTTGTCTTTCCACAATACTATTCCATTTTACCTCACATTTCTTTTTATTATCTCTTTTGAATCTCTATATACTCTCTTCTCTTGCTTTGTATGATACATGGAGATAGTGTGACAACTCGAACTGCTGCATATCTGTGCGAAGTAGTTCTACGTTGAAAGTCAGTTGTACACAGACTGACTGCTGAAGCCCTACATTTATGGGAGAATCCCAAAAGCTTGAACAGGTGTGATGTGAACAGCTGATGCGTGGCTAGTCCTGATTAATAAATAAAAAATCGATGTGTATCACTAATTTATCATATTTAATCTACATTAGGAATGATCGGCAGTACGCACCCACTGGGGTTCAAACCCAGGACCTTCCGGTCGCAAGGCAAGCTCGTATACCATTTAGCCATTAAGTCAGGGCCCAGTGGCTAAATGGTATACGAGCTTGTCTGGTAACCGGAAGGTCCTGGGTTCCTACCCTGGCTGTGGGGTGGCTGCTTACTGCTGATGATTCCCAAACTAGGATGAAACAGCTATCCAGTACTTCAATGCTGGTTTTTAATGGTTCTCTAACTCATATCAATCTGTGATCAACTCATAAAAACAAAACTAACTCTTACAAACCAAATATAGATATTTGGAATTTAATTTATGGATGGTGACTGGCAGTGTAATCCAGAATGAAAATTTCGTCCTATTTGGGACTCGTCATCTGGATGTACCTGCATTTCCCGCTGAGTGATGATGTTCCCACCGAGGCTCGAACCCAGTGGCCATAGTTTCAAACGTCAAAGCGTTATCCACTAGACCAAGAGAGACACCTCTTGTGCAACGGGTCATATTGATTTAAATGAATTTTAGATTTTTCGACAATGCAGCGTTGACCATGAAGTTATAATTTGGAAACTAATTCAACACTGCGGAGTACAGTGCCCCTCAAATCTTTATCAACTTTATTAGACAGCTATATGAGGTGCCACGTAATCCACAACGGAAAATTCATCGAAGCCGCTGAAGTGAAGACAGGAGGAGTAAGTCAAAGCTACCTATTACCACCGATGATATTCTTAATTGTGGTGGACTGGATTATGCGGAGGACTAAGGGAAGCAGGCAGATAGGAACATATTGCACTGACTGATAAAAAGACGCTAGAAGATCTAGACTTCGCGGAAGATCTGTGTATAGTATTGAATAAATCCGAAGACTTACAAGCGAAAATAACAAGTTGGCCGAAGAGAAAGGCAGCAAATACAGGACGTAGATAAGATGGAGGCAGTGGAGATAACCAACCAAAAGCAACAACAACCAGCACCGATCCCTATCCACGGGAGAAATTTGACAGAGGTCACTTCCTCTCACCCTCACCCCAAAAGTATGGTGGAGGTATGTAGATGACACTTGCACTGTACTTAGAACAGAGCATATAGATAGATTTTTCCAACACATTAACTCAAAGGTGGAGGCAATTCAATTCACTTATGAATTGGAAAGTCACGAAGGGGAACTTCCAATGTTAGATTGTAGCGTAAAAAGGAAAGAAGATGGGAAGTTAAAAGACACTAGTGTTTACAGGAAACGGACACATTTAAACAGATATTTGGACTTCCGATCATCCCATCCTATGTCATTAAAAATAGGATTGGTGAAATGTTTAAGTGACAGAGTACAAAAACTAAGTAGTACCAAGGAAAATCTAAGACAGGAAGTGATATATATAAGAGAAGCCTTGAAACGTAATAATTCCCCTGATAAATTAGACAGGAAATATGTGGGGAAATGTAAAAATAAAATAAATAATGATAGTAGTGATAGTGATAACAATAATAATATTAATGACCACATGTATGTCAAACATGCGCAAGACAACACCAACAATGAAGAATCTAAATCATCAGTAGTAATTCCATACGAGGAAGGAACCTTGGAAATCTTACGCAGAATTCTTTACAAGGCAGGAATACAAGTGACTGGCATTCAAACCCACAAACTCAATTAGAAACAAGCTTTGTCGGTTAAAGGAACAATGCTATGGAGCTTTTGAAACAAATCAATTTAGTTTATCTAATACCCTGCCAGAATGATTGTCAGGTCAAATACATAGGTCAAACTAGTAGAACAGGGGCAGTCAGACTAGCTGAACATAAAAACTTAGCAAAATCTGTGCGTCGGTGGCACAGTGGTTAGGACTCTCGCCGACCATGCACGTGGTCCGAGGTTCGATCCCCTTCCGACGCACACCCGATATCTATGGTCGGCCTGCAAAATTTGGGCTACCGATATCCATGCTGAAAATTCCATACTTGTACCGAAAATACGGTGTGGCATCAAGCTGTAACTAAAATTTTAAAAAAATAAGATAAGAAATCTAGAGAATAGTTCAGCTATAGCACTACACCACATGCAATTACACACAACCATACAATAGGATGATGGGATAAGATGACAGTTTTAAAATCTAATATCACAAGATGGAGGGAGAGATTGATAACGGAAGCTTTGTTTATCGAATCAACTGCAAATACATGTAACAGGGATGATTCAACACCTGTCCACCCAGATATCTGGAAAATTCTATTACCCCTACGACGACAAATAGGAGAGGACAAAGAAAACTATAAAACTGAAGTTTCGAAGTCGTGTGATTATAATAGATGGAATGATTACGAACGGTAATAAATTTTGTTCGAAACTGTGTCATCCAGTAAATAATACTGTTTCACTGACTGTGTGATATATCTAATAAACAAACCAATATGGAATTGCTTACTACCACAGTGCTAAAGTTTTACACATATTTTAATATGTCACTTCCTCCACTTATCTAGGCAACATCGTTTTAATGATAGGCGGTGGCACGGATGAGAGTATCAAAACCAGAATCAAAAAGGCTACGAAGACCTTCATCACTCTGAGATCAATGTGGAAATTTTCCGCATTCAGCAAAAACAACAAACTCCTAATTTTCAACACCAGTGTTAAATCATTTCTTGTATGTGGGTCAGAAACTTGACCAGCGCATCAAGAAAAGCATTTCCAGCAGGTTGCAGACTTTTACCAGCAGCTGACTTCCATAGTAAATAAAGAGCAGATGGCCAGAAAGAATAAGCACCAGAAAACTCTGGGGACAGACGAAACAAGAACCTACCGCTCAACAAATATGTAGAGGAAAATGGAGACGGATCAGATACAAGCTGAGGAGACTGTTGAGGTAATATCGACTATCTCCAGGCCATCACTTTAGTGGGACCTGGATGGGAAACAACGAGATGGACGTCCGAGAGTGACATGGAGGAGATCGCACGTGTGTATATACCGATCACGCACTGGTCCGCGCTCGTGTGTGCTTACGACTGAACGAACGTAGGAAACAGCTGGCGGTAAATCCATCACGTCCCCAGCTCGACCAGGAAACTAAGTCCCTATTTGAGGAAGAACTAGCTAAACACATATCTGAGTTCGACAGCTGCGCTCACCCTGAAGAAGCCTGGAAGAATATTCAGTCAGCCATAGATACAGCTGTAAAAGCTGTGAATAAGGTAAATCCAAAGGTGAGTAAAAACCATTGGATTTCGACCGCCTCATCCGAACTGATAGATGCTAGAAGACTTATTCCGGCGAGCTCGAATTCAATGAGGAGCGAAAGCTGCACAAAAAGAAACTTACGAAAAGTCTCCGCAAGGACCGTGAACAGTGGTGGTTGACAAAGGCGAAAGAGATGGAAAAAGCATCGGCGATAGGCAACACCAGACAACTATTCAGGCTTATCAGGGAAACAGGTGGTAAAAGGCAAATGATAAGCGAAACAATCTCCGAGAAAAATGGCACCATAATTAGCTCCCAGGATAGACGTCTGGAGCGCTGGAAAGAACACTACGAGGAGCAGTTTAATTGGCCCACATCCACACTTAGCCTGCCGGACATCCAACACCTCCCTGAATGGAATATAGACACAGGTCCTCCGTCCCTAACTGAGGTTACTAAAGCTGTCACCAATCTGAAGCTAGGCAAGGCAGCGGGACCTGATTTATTGACTACAGAGGTATTTAAGTACGCAGACAGTTTACTGTCTGCGTTAACGGAGGTTCTAGGCAGCGTCTGGGGATCAGAGAAAGTCCCATTGGGTTGGTGTAAGTCACTGATCATCCCGATATACAAGAAGGGGG